TCTGTGTACGCCTGAAAGCGGTAAGAACTGTTGGACTCCAGACTAACTTCTTCCACAGGCAAAACACCTCACTTGCTGGAGTATCTCCCAGTTGATTCAGGACAGGTCACCAGTCTATCACAGGGCCACACTTAGAGACAGACAACCAAGCACACTCACATTCAGACAATTTAGAATCACCAATTAACCTCAACATGTTTTTGGGCTGTGGGAGGAAGCCAGAGAACCTGGAGAGAACCCACGCTGCATTGGGAGAACATGCAAACAGAAAGATCCCGGGTGTCCTCATCGGGACGCAAGCCAGCGATCTTCTTGCTCTTGCAATGCTAACCACCGACCCACCTTGCAGTCTATCAATACTGCAATTAATATTCATTTAGTTCTGCAGCCCTACGACTGTGTTAGTCAGTAACTGAGTGTGTGGCTGCCTGTACTCTGATCATCATCAGGTGTGTCTGAGTCAGAGCCTCTCTGCTTCCTCTTTCCTCGTCAGCGACAAACCACTTCATCTTTAGAACGCACAACAGCTAAATAGCATCAGGCAGGGACAGACTTCTTGCGCTACAAAAGCAATTAAAGCACTACTTTCCATCACAATGGATAACGCTGCAGCGACCTGCACCGGTCCAAGCGACACCAAAACAGCCTAATGATCATCATTTACTCACGAATTCAACCACTTGCAATATCAATTTGCATATCTACTGGTCTTGGAACACATCACGTGTCGTGTTTCTTTGGAAAAATTTACCAAATCGAAGCTTAAGCTTGTGATGTTTCATCATAATCACAGAATTGTAATGGTCTCATTCTCTGCTCCTTTGCAATCCAACTGCCATTAGCACTCCCATCTCAACTGTCACATGGCAAAAACTCTGAAACAGTTCGACTGACTTGTGGCATAACTGTGTCATACTGCACAGACGACATTTTTTGACAATGAAGGAGAACGTGGCAGCAGTGAAAACAAATAACTGCTTGGAGTTCTGAGGGTTAATTGCGAAAGTTGCGGCAGAAAACTAACAATTAGAACGAAGAATTGTGTTCAAGGGTTTAAGGGTTCTGCAGAACAGAAGGAAAAAAAACTTCCTCTAAACAGCTTTGTTAAAATGTATTACTGAATAAAACAGGGGCGGAGAAAATTATATTAAAAAACAAANCAGAAGTGATCCAGTTACTGTAATTACACATCAACTGTCTTGACAGGCCCAGGTCTGTGTACGCCTGAAAGCGGTAAGAACTGTTGGACTCCAGATGAACTTTTTCCACAGGCAGAACACCTCACTTGCTGAACATCTTCTTGTCGACAGGTACATTTACTGATGTTCCCTAAATGCATCACAGTGCAGGCTGCAGGAGATGCTGCTCGGGATGCATTGTGCTCAGACATGTGAGTGAAAATGACTTTGAAAAGAGTGAAATGTAGTGTTGTAATGTTTCATATTTTATCTACTTGTGCTGTTTTCTATAAGCAGAGAGAACAGTGCATGTAGTCCACTTTTTACAGCATATTTTTAAATGTAAATACCGCAGTTGATTGTGTTCATGTAATGTCGGGGGCTTAAAATTCATCCATCCATCATCTATACACCGCTTAATCCTCACGAGGGTCGCGGGGGGCTGGAGTCTATCCCAGTCGATTCAGGACAGGTAACCAGTCTATCACAGGGCTACACTTAGAGACAGACAACCACTCACATTCACACCTACGGACAATTTAGAATCACCAATTAACCTCAGCATGTTTTTGGACCTTGTGGGAGGAAGCTGGAGAACCCGGAGAGAACCCACGCTGCACGGGGAGAACATGCAAACAGAAGGATCCCGGGTGTACTCACCGGGACGCGAACCAGCGACCTTCTTGCTCTTGCAATGCTAACCACCGAGCCACCTTGCAGTCTGTCAATTTTGCAATTAATATTCATTTAGTTCTGCAGCCCTACGACTGTGTTAGCCAGTCATTGAGTGTCTGGCTGCCTGCACTCTGATCATCAGGTGTGTCTGAGTCAGAGCCTCTCTGCTTCCTCTTTCTGTTTTTAAAATGATCAGCTACAAACCACTTCATCTTTAGAACGCACAACAGCTAAATAGCATCCGACAGGGACAGACTTCTTGGGCAACAAAAGCAATGAAAGCACTACTTTCCATCACAGTGGATAACGCAGCAGCGACCTGTGCCGGTTAGAGCGACACCAAAACAGCCTAATGATCATCATTCACTCACACGAATTCAACCACTTGAACTTGCATATTAACTGGTCTTGGAACGCATCACGTGTCGTGTTTCTTTGGAAAAATTTTACCAAATCGAAGCTTAAGCTTGTGATGTTTCATCAAAATCACAGAATTCTCATCGTCTCATTCTCTGCTCCTCTGCAATCCAACTGCCATTAGCGCTCCCATATCAACTGTCACATGGCAAAAAACTCTGAAACAGTTGGACTGACTTATGGCATAACTGTGTCATACTGCACTGACGACATTTTTTGACAATGAAGGAAAACGTGGCAGCAGCGAAAACAAACACCCAGAAACTGCTTGGAGTTCTGAGGGTTAATTGCGAAAGTTGCAGCAGAACAGAAGGAAAAAAAACTTCCTCTAAACAGCTTTGTTAAAATGTATTACTGAATAAAACAGGGGCGGAGAAAATTATATTAAAAAACAAA